GTATTTTTAAAAGTTACAGAAGCAAATATTCAAGGGGAACAAGATAATGGTATATATTTTTAAAATTTTCACTTTGAAATCTTTTTTATTATTTAATTTATAATTATTATATTATTATTATCTTTAATGTAACAGAAAACTAAGCCAAAACCAATTACAATTTTCCAATGTTGATTGAAGAATTTTAATTAAGATTTTAAAATTTTACTATAAAAAAATGTTATTAACTTTTTTTGTCACAATGTAATCTGGCTTTAAATGGGTTAAATTAAAGTTACTTATCCTTAGCATTTGGTTTTTAAATTTCTCTATTTAAATTTTATTTTTGTAGGAATTTTTATAGATAGTTGTATCATTTAATAATATAATGAAATAATTAATATAATTAATAATTAATTAAAATAATTAATAATAATTGTTAATATTATTAGTCTCTAATAATTATTTGGTATAATATAAATTAGCTTGTATTTCTTTTTTTTTTAGAGCTTACAACAAATGTTAATTCTTATCATCCAAGCTCTCCAACATCTACATCTTCAAGAGATTTTATGCTAATAGAAAAACAAGGATCAGAAGTTGCTGAATTGCCTTTACTTCAAAATCATGCACAAAGTGTAATTTGTAGTCCTCCAAGATCTAAACACATTCGTTCGCTTTCCTCAGATTCAAGTAGCATTAGGTTTTGTGATTTTTTTATTACGTGTATAATTTTTATGATTTATTAATTATTATTTTTTTGATCAATAAATACTATTCAAATAATATTTAAAATGATTAAAATAAAAAATAAAATTTAAGGTTTTTGTTTAGCTCACCTAAACTTGTTTCAAGTTGTGCTCATCGGCGTACACCTTCAGGCAATTATTGTGGTCATCGGAGAGCTATTTCAAATGATCTTTCTTTTGCTTTGCATTCTGGCAATATTCAAGATCCTAGAGCTATACTACAGAAAGTTAGACAAAAAGAATGTAATCGTTTAACAAAAAAGACTGAATTATGGAAACACCATGCATCTGGTTCGAGGGTTGTCGGCAAAAGTTTTCATGTGTGGCAACAATTTTATGCATTGTTATTAAAACGACTTCACCATACCCGAAGAAATATTCAAGGGTTACTAACACATATTCTGCTACCCGGATTATTTGTTTCAATAGCCATGTCTGTTGCATTGGCTCAACCTAAAGGAGATTCTTACCCTCCTCTTGTGCTTTCATCTGCTATGTTTCACCCACCTCCATTTTTTATCCCATTTACAAACAATAAAAACGGTGATTTAGCATTGTCCTTCAAGTTAGAAAATACACTCAAACTTCCTTCTGGTTTTGGTGCTGATTGTGTTCTAAATGGCGAAGTAGTTCCTCATTCTATGAGCATAAAGTATTTGCAAAAAAATGTAAAAAAGTATTTTGATAAATATTGTTTGGATAAAATTTCACCAAATTTTCAAAATATTAAAAAACCATATTACCCAACGTATGGAAAGCCTGCATGTCGTTGTAAAATACCAGAATGGATTTTTGAATGTGACAAAGGAATTGAAGGAAAACCCGAAACATTTACAAGTGTTGCCCAAGATACATTTTTAAATATTACTAATCAAGATTTTAAAACTTACTTGCTAAATACCAATTATTTGTTCAAGCGAAGAAGGTTTTTTATTACTTTTAATTAATCGTAGATTTTTTTTTTTTTAAAGTTTTTATGTCGTTTTTTTTTATTTTATTATTTTTTGACTCAATGAAGGAACAAAAAACCTTTTTATTATTGAATAATAATTTTTGTTTTAAAAAAAAAATTTTTTTTATTTTGTATTTAGGAAACAACATAAATCTCTGACTTCATACTCAAATACCCTGTTGCAGGGGGCTTCATTACATGCACCGACAATCTTATAGCCTGCTGGTAATGTGGCTCATTGAATGAGGGTTTTGCATGGGGCAACAATCTTTTCTTTCATTTTTCTTTGTTTTTTTCTGAGAGCGCCATATAAATTATTTTAAAAACATATAGTAACAATTTGTTACATTAAGGATATTTTTTCAAACCAATTTTAAGGTTAACATTTTTCCTATTTGTACCCTAAAACTCCCAGTTTCTAAGCTTTGCATATTTTTTAAATTTTTTTAATAGTTTAGGAAAGAAAGTAGGGTTATTAAAAAAAATAATAAAAAATAAAAAGTTAATTAAAAAAATGAATATTTTTTCTCCAAATTTTGCTTTGTATTTTATTTGCATCTTACTTTTTTTTGCCACACTAGCTTGTTTGTACTTTTTAAAACTCCCTGTTTTTTGGCCACACCAGATTGTTTGTACTTTTTAAAACTCCCTGTTTGTCCCAACTTTGCTGAACAGCTAATAGTATATCTTGTAAACAGATGTAACAAAATTTAATGCAAGTTTGATTGGCAATATAGAGCAGTTGTTGACTACATATAGTCAATAGAAATATTCTGCCAAGAGAGTTCAGCACAGTATTTTGGATTTGAAAACCTTGTTAACAAAATAGCAAGTATCAGGTTTTCCTATTTTAACAAATTTTTTATATTTGTCTATTTGTTTGGAACCAAAATCACAATAGCTTACCTCTTACATTTATCAACTTTTTTAAACTATAGGAAAAATTGTAACTATATTTTAACACCTGCTCTCAACTTTAAGTTATCTGTACCAAAATATCAAATTGTTCATTATGGCTAAGAATTCATACAACATAAAAGCATACAAACATGGAAACATCTTCCTTCTTAACTGCTCTCTTTAACTATTTTTCAGAAAAATGTTACTTATAAATCTTGTACCTTGGTTCAACTTATTATTTATAACCCTAACTCTGAGCTTCTATCTAACTAATATTTTTTCTCTTTTCTGTTGTGTTATAATACTAGTTTTAATATCTTTTTGTTAAATTTATTTTAGTTTTTCTTTGACTAAAATATTTTCATTAGTATTCTCTTCATCACTATTATTGATATTGTTATTATTATTATTTTTATTGTATTATATTTTTATCATTATAAATATTATTATTCTTACTGTTGTTAATATTGTTATAACTTTTTTTATATTCCTGTTTTTGTTACATTATTATTGTTGTTATTATTGTTTCTATTTTTTTTTGTTGTTATTATTGTTATTATTGTAATAGTATAGTATATATTTTTTTATAATCTTTACTATTACTTTTAATCGCTGTTATTACTATTATTTCTATTTACTCCTACTTGTGTTATAATAATAATAATAATTATTTTTTATTATTATTGAATTTTATAAGTGTTTACTTCATAATAGTACTTATTACTATTTGTAAATAACCTGTATGTAACAACTTTATTCAGAATATACTTGATTTGATTTTCCAATCCAAAATACTGTTAGCACTTTTTAAAAAGATGTTTCTTGCTATTTCTGCTGCTTTGGATTTTTTACTAATATTTTTTTTATCATTTCTTTTTTTTCACAATTAGATCTTTTATCAGTTTCCTACAACATACAAATAAACATAAACAAAATATATATTGATTTTTTATAATCAAATAGCTTTAAAATGTTTTATCTCAAATTAAAGTCAGAGAGAAAAGAGTTTAGCAAGTTAAAAAAAACTTTTTAATTAACAAAAAAGATTTATGATAGAGGTTGTATTATAATCCTTTTAAAAAAAGTTTTCTTGTTATTTATATTTAGCAAAACTAATATCTCAAAATATGCTGCTGTCATCCATCTATCCAGGGTTTATTTGCAGCAAATTTTGTAGAGTACATTTATATTTAGCAAAACTAATATCTCAAAATATGCTGCTGTCATCCATCTATCCAGGGTTTATTTGCAGCAAATTTTGTAGAGCTCATTTATATTTAGCAAAACTAATATCTCAAAATATGCTGCTGTCATCCATCTATCCAGGGTTTATTTGCAGCAAATTTTGTAGAGTACATTTATATTTAGCAAAACTAATATCTCAAAATATGCTGCTGTCATCCATCTATCCAGGGTTTATTTGCAGCAAAAAAAACATAGATCTCAAGACATTACTAATAATAATAAATTTAAAATGACAATAATACTATAATTAATAATTATAGCAATTACAATTACAATAATAATTATAGTAAATATTAAAACAAAAATAATTAGTTTTTTATTTTTAGGAACAATAATTTGATTACTTTGAATTAATTAATTCAATAAAATAGAGAAAAATTAATTATTAAATAATAATTTTTAATAAAATTTTTCCAAAACAACTAAATGTCTTAATCATACTAAAAATAACTTCCTTATTTGCAAGAAACTGTATTTTAAAAAGTTCTACTAATATTTTTTTTTAGCTTCAAGTAAAAATGTCTTTAAAATCAATCTTGTGACTTTAAGAATTATCTTAAGTTTTTTAATTTCTGTTTTCGATTTTAAAACAAACTTTATAATTAGTAGTTTATAATCAAAAACAATTATTAACTTAAGCAATGTAAATTTTTTAATACAATCAAATTTTTTCTTTAATGAAATCTAAAAATACTATATGTAGTATTTTTAGATTTTATTAAAGAAAGAAGTTTTGGGGTAAAAATTATAAATAAAAATCATTAGAATTTTGGGAATTAAAAAAAAAAAACTGCCTAGTTTGCACATGAGACCTTAAATAAATGCAAAAATATTGCACATGAGACCTTAAATAAATGCAAAAATATTGCACATGAGACCTTAAATAAATGCAAAAATATTGCACACGAGACCTTAAATAAATGCAAAAATATTATTTTTACTGTAAAATCTTTGTTTTTAAAATCTTTTGTTTTTTATTTAGGTAAAATAAAAAGTTGTTTGTTAACAACTCTAATATACTGATATATATAAAAATTATTTTTTTTGCTGATCTATAGATGATTATAGTTTTTTTGCTGATACTATAGCCTATATAGATCAGCAATTACTTACCTATTTTGCTTATCTTTATAGCTTTTTCAAAAAAATAAGAAAAAGCAAAGAATAATATAGGAAAAGATTACTGCCCCATGCCAAACCCTCAGTCAATGTTGCAGTACTTCTTTGTACCAACAGGCTATAAGATAGTCGATCTATGCACTGAATCTCCCAGAATCAGGCTATTTCAGTATGATGTCACACTGCTTATGGTAAACACACATTTATATTTTCAAGTCTAGGAATAGCTGTGATATTATTAACTGACATGACAAATAGCAAAATTGGTTTTTAAGTAATTTTAGTTTTAAAACATTTCTGGGGGCTGTTGGGTTGTGGATTTGGATGTGGATTTTATGATTTTGTGGATTTGGATGTGATTTTATGATTTTAGTTTTATATTTTCTTCTTATGAAGTTTTTATTTTACTTTTTTTAAGATATGGAGCATTAGGGTTTGGTGATTTACAAAGCACCATCACAAAAAAGTTAGAAGAGTCTGAATACACTGATATTCAAAAGTTGTATGTTAGGCAGACTGCACGTGTAAGAATGTTTATAAAACATAATTTTTTTAAGTGTTATTATTAATAGAAGATGTTCTGGCATAAAACTTTTACATAAATTGTTATTAAAGCATGAAATTAAAAAAAAAGAGAAAGGAAAATCTTTTCAAAAAAATTAAAAAAAAAATTGTTTTTTACAAGTTTCTTTAATTTTTATTTTAGGTTAGGAAATTAAAAAGTATAAAAATACTTTTGGTTTCAAAATTTTTCTTTATTTGAAAAAAAATAATTGTACATTACTGGTGATGGTGCCCATTAATTTCTGCACAAATGTTATTGTCATTTTCTTGCTTATGGTTGACCATGTCTTCAGCAATTCTTGCTTATGGTTGACCATGCCTTCAGCAATTCTTCTTAATGGTTGACCACGCCTTCAGCAATTCTTGTACTAAATAGTCTTGCCTGTTTTACGCAAATACCCTTTGGCAATACCCCAATACTTTCAATGGGCTGGAATTGTGGGCAATTTAGTAGATTGAGTTTTTATGGTACAAAATTAACCTTTCTCAATTTATACCACTCAAAAGTTTTTTTAGCGTAGTGGCACGAAGTCAGCCCAAAACAAACAAGGTCTAGTGTGCGCTCGAATGAGTGGCAAAAGTCACTTTTGAAGCCACTCTTGAATATAAATTTCTGATGTCAAAGTTGATCATGTCACAAAATTTCCACTCTTTTTTCCACAACTACAAATTGCGTTCCATAGGAGCAATTTTTTGCCATATTTGTCCACAAGTTTGTATTAATACTTGTTGCTTACACTGCTACCATCAACTGAAGTATAATATATGTCACCAGGAAGTTGACTAAAGTCATATTTTATGTAAGTCTCATTATCCATTAAAATGCAGCCATTCAATTTTGTTAAAACTTGGTTGTAATGTTGTTCTCTGTTTTGGCAGTGGAATTTTATTTGTCAGAACAATTGGAGTATTTAATTGCTCGGAAAGGTTTGTAATTCTTCACTTTCCTTACCAAAAATAAGAAACTTTGTACTTTTTATCTCTTTCTCTGTTAGAAAAGTTTTTTTAAAAGGGTTTCTTTTAAAAAAACAATGAATCTTATTTATCACTGATTTATTGTTAAAAAAATTATTTCGTCCTGATCCTTTAGCTTATTTGACGGATAAAATCTTCTTATATTGTTTTATGACCCTTCCAACAATCATCAATCATGATGACTGTCGGAAGGAGACAAACATCAATCCATTATGGATTTTCTTCATGAATGTACAAGATTCTTTTCCAATTTTCAAATTGCTTTGATGACATTTTAATAAATCATAATTTGAATTTCTTTTTTTTTTGACAACTACTATCATTGTTTGATTAAAATTTTATAATTGTTATTTTCTTTTATTGTGTGAGTAATTTATTTTAAAATGGTTTCTGTTTCTCTTTTTTTTTTGTCTCATGCTTTATTATTATTATTATTATTATTATTATTGGTTATATTTTTGTATGTTGGGCACGTGTAAGAATGTTTATAAAACATATTTTTTTAAAGGATTTTGTTTATAAAAGATATTCTGACATTAAACTTTTACATAAATATTGTTACTATTATTATTATTTGGTGCATATTTTTTTACCTTTTACATTAATATTTTTTACCTAGATAGCTATAATATATAAAAATTGATAATTAAAGTAAATAGATAATATTATATTGATAGTAAAATTAGTATTAGTAAAACACCAAATAGTTAATTTTTTCAATTTTTTTGATTTCCTTTTCATATTAATATTTCTAGTTTTTATAAACAAAGTTTTTGTTATCTTAACATATTTTGTTTAGTTATTTATATTTGTTGCATCATATTTTTTCATTTGTATTATACTTTGTTGTATCATTTCTTTTATTTATTTTATAATTACAATTATAATCATTGTAATCCTTACAGAGTATTACTAAAGTGACAAAATTATTCACAACAAAATGACTGTATTTTTTTAAGTTACAGTTTATGACTATTAGATTGTGTTTAAAGTTGAATAATTTGTTTTTTTAAATTATTTTTTAATTCTAAAATAAGTTTTTATTTAATACAAATTACTATAAAAAAATGTTTTACTTTTAAAATGATATTACTTAAATTTTTTAAAAAATGAACTTTTAAAGTTATCCAATTTTGAAAAATTTCTTTTGTAGCAGTATACTATATTATATATATCCTATACGAACTGTCACATATGTAGATACCTGTCATATATAAGTAGATATGTATTTAATTCATTATGCTGATTATTCATTATGTTGATTATTCATTACGTTGATTACTGACTATTTTTTTTAGGTTTGGTTTAGTAATAAAGGCTTTCATGCTATGCCAGCTTTTATTAATGCCATGAATAATGCTATACTTCGTGCATATGTTACACCAAAAATGGGCAACCCAGCTGCTTACGGTTTTTAATTATAACTTGTTACAAATATATATTTACTTTTTTATATAACAAAAATGATTTTTGTATCAACTTACTAAATGTAATATCAGTTTTTATTAACTACATCAATACATAGTTAGTTAATACATAGTTAGTTACTATTTAGTTTTAGTTATTATAATTATTTTTGATTTATTAACTTACTATTAATATAGATTACAATCGTTATATTTAAAAGTATTTTTAAAATTTATCAATATAAAATATTAATTTATTGTGCAGGTATAACAGCAATTACACATCCACTAAATACAACTCAAAATGTTCTTAACTTGGATTCCATGTAGGATATTTTTATTTTTATTGTGTACAATAATCTTATTTTTTTCTTTTTTAATCTTACCTTTTCACCAACAAGGTTTTTTTTTGTAGAAGACAGGTTTTTATTGTTTTGTGTGTGTGTGTATTGTAAGCAGGTTGTTTTTATATGTTTCTTTTTCCTTAGTAAGCAAGTTGTTATTGCATGTTGTTTTTTTTGTTGTTTTTTTGTTTGTAGTAAGGAAGTCATTGTATTTTTTATTTATTATTTTTTTGTTGTTGTAGTAAGCAAGTTGTTATTGTTCATTTTTTTTTTGTAGTAAGCAAGGCACTGATGCTATTATTGCTCTTTTTGTAATAATTGCAATGTCTTTTGTACCTGCAAGTTTTGTTGTGTTTCTTGTCATGGAGCGAACAACTCAGAGTAAACATATTCAGTATGTCAGTGGGCTCCACCCATTATTCTATTGGTTGTCAAACTACTTGTGGGATATAGTAAGTTTATTACTTGGTTTAATGGTTTACTTGGTTTAATGGTTTACTTGATTCTTACACTAGTTTTATTTCATCTGATCTCTACATTAGGTTAGGTTTAATGCTGTTAGAGGCTTGGTTAATGCATAAATGAAAAATATATTAATAAAAATTGTTACTCAGAAGAAATTATAAATTTCTTTTGAGTAACAAATTACACTACCTTATGAATAGTGAAAATATTTATTGTTTATTTATATTATTAATTGAATTTATTATATCCACTAACATATTGCAAAATAGTTTTAATTAAAAAGTTGGTAATATGTTATTTTAATGTTGTTTTAAAAATAAAATTTCTAAAATCACATCACATCTAAAATCAGTATTTTAGATTTGTACCTGTTTAAAAAAGAGTAAAATCTCTAAAGAAATAGTTGATTATAAATTTTAAGTTAAAGTAAAGAAATTTATAGTAAATAGATTTAAAAATAAATTGGAGGTTGTATTTTTGTATTTGAAGTTGCACTTTTCTAAAATACTTAATAGAATAAATGTTGTGAAATTTTTTTTTTAGTTAACATTTTTAATACCTGCCGGTGCCTGCATGATAATATTTTATATATTCAATGTACCAGCATATGCCTCAAGAACAAATTTTCCAGCTGTTTGTGCACTGTTCATGTGTTATGGGTTTGTTGATAAATACCTGTTCATTTACTAAATAAAAAATAAAAATTTATTTAAAAATTAGAATTTATACAAAGAATTTCTAATGTTTTGAAACAAATAATTTGTTCTTATTCACTCCATTTCTTCTTTAGCTGGTCTATTACACCGATGATGTATCCTGCATCATTTCTCTTTCGTGAAGCAAGTACTGCATATGTGGTATTAATTGTTGTAAATTTGTTTGTTGGCATTACATGCTTAGTAACAACATCAATATTACAATTGTTTCCTAATGACCACGTGAGTTATTATTTTGTATATTTATATATATATATATATATATATATATATATATATATATATATATATATATATATATATATATATATATATATATATATATATATATATATATATATATATATAAATATATATATACATATATATATACATATATATATATATATATATATATATATGTATATATATATATATATATATATACATATATATATGTTTTATTTTTATATGTTCTATATATAAAAAATTTATAAAATTGCATTTAGCAACTGGCATTTGTTCTTGAGGTTGTCAAAGTGATATTTTTGGTATTTCCAAATTATTGCTTGGGACGTGGTTTAATGGATCTTGCCTACAATGAACTTATGAATATGGTAAATGCACAAATAGGTTTGTTTTTTTATTGATTTTTGTGATAACTATATAGTTTAATGTTATGTTTGTTTTATTTATGTTATTATCAGTGTAGCTTTTAAAGTGTACTAGCTGAAACATTTGTTAATTTAAAGTGTAATGACTGCTATTGCAGATACAAACTGTGAAATTTTTTGTTTTTGGTCTAGATGATTTATAAAAAAAGATTTTTTTAATCCATTGCTACTGCAAGTTACATTTTATTTAACATTTATCTTGATTTTTTTCACGTTGCTTCACCAATAATTGCAATCATGTATGCATTGCATACTTAATTTTCATGCTAAAATAAAGATACATTGCAGCTTCTGTACTTACATTAAGGTAATGTGCGCAGTAGTGAAGTTGTCTAAGTAGAGCAAGTTATTTTTTCCCTATAATTTGGATTTCACATTCCTTTGTAGACTAAACCTAGAAGAAATAAAGACATGAAAATTTTAAAATATCAACTTTTGCAAAAACTTTAGTAAATATTTATACTGCTTTTGAAATGTCTCAAAGTGAGATATTTTTTGCACAAAAGCCAAGAAAAGCATAAAAGTTTTAGCTTAGGACAATTTATCTTTCTTATGAACATAGGTAATAATTTTACTGTCCAGCAAAACCATGATATTTTTAGAACAACGTGTTCAGCCAAGGAATGAGTTTTTCATTAGGGTATTCTTAATACTGTTGTTTTTGTAAAATGGAATCAGAAAATTTTTAATGCAATCTTTCCTTTTATACATTTTTGTTAGTTGAATAGTCAGATTGTCTAATTATTGGTCTTGTCAAATCCATTGAGACTAAATGTAAGCCATACCAATACATTGCTTTCAAAATTAGCAATTCTTTTGTACTTAAGTTTTGAAGAAAAATTCTTAGGGTTGTATCACATTAACTTATGTAATACCCAAGACTTACATGAGAAAACTAAACAAAATATTTCTGTGTAGCTGGTATAGATTTTAATAAATATTCAAGTTGCAAAAAATACCATATTTATAGATATTTCTTAAAAGTTGTTTGAAGTATTTAAAAAATTTAGTAACTATATTTTAGTAATTTTAATATTTATTAAGTTATTGTAATCATTATTTTTATTATTAAGTCAAAATAGTATGAAAAGAAACAAAACTTTCTGTAAAAGTTTATGTTTCGTTTTTTTGTTTGAAACAAAAAAATGAAGCATAATTTGAAACATAGTTTTAAACATTAAATGAGTTTTCTCTTTGTAATTCACCTCCCCAAGGCCAAGAAGGCCACTACAGATGAGGAGGCTACTTGTAGTTATAACCTTCTCTCAACTCTATAACTCTGAAACAGGAACCTTGATGAACAAGGCCGCTGTGCGGAGAAACAAGTTGAGCGCGGTACTACTAAGGACGTGTTGGGAATCGAACTCATAACCTCTCGCTTATAAAGTGAACTCGGAACCTCTCGCTTATGAAAAGTTATGGCATGTAAATATTTTTTAATCCATTTTATTTTCCTGAAAAAAAAATAAACTAGCTAAAATAAACAGAAAATTAGTTATTCACAACTGCATTTAAAACACAAATTTTTTTCTCCTATTTTAAATAAAAAAACAAAACAAAAATAACAAATAATAAATACTTTTTGGGTGCTTATACCATTCTAGCAGTATTAAAACAATTCTGGGTTCATCTCTGGACATAAATTTTATTTTATTTTCGAATAAGTTTTAACATATCAGGTCCAACAAAAGCTGGTTATGTACATAAAACTCCTATAATTTTATTCCTCTAATACACACACAAGTAGGCACAAATATTATTTATAGTAATAACCTTTTTTATACATGAGTATTACTTGCCTTAAGTCAAACCCATCACATAATGCATATATGCTTGCTTCTTATCCCTGTTTTACTATTGCATTAAGTTAACATTTAATATCATGTTTAAGTTAACATCTAATATCATGTTTAAGTTAACATCTAATATCATGTTAACATCTTATAGCATGTTTGAGTTTTATAATATATATGTATATATATATATATATATATATATATATATATATATATATATATATATATATATATATATATATATATATATATATATATATATATATATATATATATATATATATGTATATATATATATATATATATATATATATATATATATATATATATATATATATATATATATATATATATATATATATATATATGTATATATTAATATAATATATATATATATATATATATATATATATATATATATATATATATATATATATATATATATATGTATATATATATATATATATATATATATATATATATATATATATATATGATAAATCTTATATTATATATAAGATTTATTATATATATATATATATATATATATATATATATATATATATATATATATATATATATATATATATATATATATATATATATATGATAAATCTTATATATAAGATTTATTATATATATATATATATATATATATTATTATTATTATTATTATTATTATTATTATTATTATTATTGTTTATTTATAGGACAGTTTGAAAAGATTCATTCTCCATTCGAATGGCAAATAGTGACTCGAAGTTTAGTTTATATGTTCTCAGAAGGCGTTATTTTTTTTATTTTTACTCTCTTTATAGAGTATAAATGCATGAAAAGAAGGTTTATACTTTGTTAATATATGTTTTATATATTATTTTTATATGTTTTATATACATAATTTTTATATACAATTATTTTTTATACTTATATGAAATTAGTTTTTATTTTTTGCATATCAAAATAATTTTATCTTTTGAATACATGGCATTTTATTCAATTTATTATTAATATAATTAGAACACATTTTATTGCTTATATCACTTAATTATTACACTTAGTTTTGTTTTATGTAGAGCTTCAAATTCAAAAGATGGTTCGTCGCAAAAATTAGATCAAGATGTTGCTTCTGAAAAGTATCGTGTTTTAAGTGGAGGAGCTGATAATGATCTTCTACGAGTTGAAAATTTAGCCAAGGTTTTTTTTTAAACTTATTATGTTTAAAAATTTTTATATAACGAAATTTATTTTCTACTGCTAGGTGGTACTGGTATAATATTATTTTTGTGCACTGTAAATTAACTCTTTATACCTTCAAACTGTTGGTTTTTTGTTTGTTTGCAATGCACAGCGATCTAGAACAAAATAAAATTCAGCCAAAATTGTTTTTTTTTTTTTTAATTATTTATATTAACTGAAACTTTGGTCTGTTATTTACAAAATATAAAAATTAATTGATGCATGGTAGTCAAAAGGTTTTTTCCATAAACTGTAGTTTTAAAGAAAGCGCTAATAAACCAGACCAGAAAAAGTTGAAAACATATTATATATATATATATATATATATATATATATATATATATATATATATATATATATATATATATATATATATATATACATATATATATATATATATAATGCTATTCACCTCCTTGAGGCCAAGGGAACCTCTACTGAGGAGACTTTTTTTTTTATATTGTGGTCCTCATTCAACTTTTTAACTTGAGAACATAAACCTTGAGAGCAGGAACCTTGAAAAATAAGGCCTATGGGAGAAAAATGGGATTTAAAACTGCATACAATTAAATATGGTTTAGAGAAGCTTGCGACATATCTTGTGCACTTGCTGTCTATAAACATACATTGCAAACTTACTGTGAAGAAGCTAAACTTGTTGCAAACTTGCATGAAAATACTAAACATATTATTCAAACCTTCTATAGAAAAGAAAATCTTGTAAATCTGCTTTAGAGAAGTTAAACATGTTTCAAGCATAAACTCTGTATCTAGTGTTTGATTTTGGATGTATTCTTTTACTAATTTCAAAATTTTTGATTTTTATGTATACTGAATCACTATACAAAATCTAATTAAAGATGACTTAGAACAAGAAATATTGCTTAATGAAACTTTAGTGGTACAAAATAAATTCACCATGCTATTGAAATGATTAGGACAAGGGATCAATTATTTTAAAGATAAACACCGACTAAGGTTCAGACTATTGTAATTGTAATGATAACAATAACAGAAACAATAACTACTAATAACAATAAATAAATAATACAATAACAATAAATATTGTATTGCAGTTCATCTTCATAATACAATAATATCTAAAAAAAAATGTATTGTAATGACCAACTGCAATAATAATTATTGTATTGTAATTCATCTTTATAATACTAGAAAATTCAGAGGTGCGTCACGGGCACATCTGAATTTTTTAGTGCCCAAATAATAATAAATGCGTGAAAAAAGAATGTAAATACTTTAAAATACAATACCTATTAGACTTTGAAATAGTAATACAATACACCTCAATAGTTATTGTAATTGTTTTTCATCCCAGAAATACAATACAAAAGTTATTGTAATTGTCACATCACAGCAATACAATACAATAGTTTAATAACTTCACTGTATTATTAGAAAAAAAAAACAATACAATAGTTATAAAGTAATGTTAAAGTAAAGTTTAAATTAAGTAACTGTTTTTAATCACAGCAATACAGTAACAATAAATTATGTTTTAATTACAATACAATGGTATTACAATACAATATTATTGTATTGTAATGTGTTATTGTATTTAATTTTTACAATTACAATAACAATAGTGCGAACCCTAACACAGACTAAATAATCGATTTCTCCTTGAAGTTACCATAGCTGAAAATATCAGTTTTTTGTATATTTTTACTCTTTCCTCTTTTATTTTTTTTTACTTTTTCACTTTTGTTTTAATACTTGCTTAGGTTACACTACTGATAAAATAATAAATACTGATAAACTATATTTCGGCCATATTTTCTGCCATTCTAAATATTGTGCATTTTGGTTCACTGCGCATTCTGGATCAATGTGTATCATCATTCTGAATCAATGTGCTTAAAGTAATTTAATTTAAACTTTACTTTAACATTACTTTAAACTTGATGTATTGTTGATATCGTGTTTAATATCCACATAAAGTATATTTGATATCCACATGATATATATTTGATATTAGAATTTCCATGGTTTTTAATACTGAAAACTATTGAAAACCGGTATTGAACTATTTTTTTACAATCCAGAAACCGTTTCACAATACTAGTTATATACAGTTTTAAAACAAAAAACAGAAATATACATTTGGCATATATTTTAGGCAATTAAAATATAGCCTAAATGTTTCATTTTTATTGCGTATGCAATGTTTCATGTTGAATGAAATTTGCATAGATAATAAAAATCCAAATAATTTTCGGACAAGTTACTTGACCTGTAGAAAGTCATATGTGGCACAACCACAATATTCATATCGCCATAACTGGTGTTTTCTACAAAAAGTTATATACCTGCAATGGCCAAACATATTTGAGTGACTAATCAAATGAAGAAGACACAGATGAAAGAGATAAAGCAAATGATTTTTGAAAGAAGAAAATGATTCAGATTCTGATTGTAATGACAATGATCTTAAAAGATTAAATTGTAGCGAAATTTTTAATGCTTTCTTAGATAAAACTGTTTTACGGAAACAGCAACAGCAATTATTCAATACAGACTTGATGTAATCAAGTATTAATTAATTCAAGTAAACTGGTTATATTTTTCAAATAGTCAACGGTTTGTAACTTCATACTGCAACAGCATTTTTTCAAACAAGAAAGTAAAAAATTGCTGCTAAAACTTGACATTGAAACTCCGTGCAGCTCTTTGATTTCTATGATTGAAACATTTTTAGTGATAGAAAAACTTCTTAAGAAAACAACGACAGCAAATATTCAATGTACCTGACATGATCACAACTCACCTGATGACCAATGACCTGATGTAATCATGTCTGTATTGAGTAATTGCTGTTGCTTAGGGAATAATTCAAGTTAACTGATTAAATATTTCAAATAGTCAACCGTTTATAACTTCATATTGCAAAAACATTTTTTTAATTGAAGCTTTTCTTTTAAGTTATTAAGTGACTAGGGTTGATATTTGACTGGGGTCGGGGCCAGGTTTAATAAAGTATAGCCGGGGCCGGGTTTGTGACTGGGGTTGCATAAACAGTTAGATTCACTAAAAAAACAAGATGAGTGATGCAATAAAGATTTACTATCACTAATGAGATATTTGCAAAACCCCAATTCAAATACATCACAAAATAATGATAGCTTCAAATATTTACCAAAATCAGCAACTCTTCTATATATAAATATTATAATCAAACAAAATTTTTTCTAAAATATTGAATAGTGTCAATGTTTAACCATCGAATGAAGAAGTTGCAGAAGAAGTCAATTATTACCTGAAAAACGGTTACAATTGGCTTCTGAACATGTGCAACAATCTCTAACAAAGATGGTTTTGTTCTAACCCAAGATTAGTAGTTCTGTTTTCAGAGATACAAAAGGAGCTTTTTGAAGCAAGTAAATTTTTTAATAAAATAAAATAATTATTTACTTAAACATTGAATTTAAATAAATTTCATGCTGTGTTCAAAACAATTCAGCCCACATCAACATCCAGAAAAATAATGTTTTCTGTTGGTAACTTTTCAATGCTGGTAACTTTTCAAATAAATGTTGCTGGTAACTTTCAAGCTAAATAAATTTTGATTTGGCTCAATTTTTAATTTTTTTTTTATAAATACTGCACAATACCAGTATTGAATTAATTTGAATACTGAAATCGATATTCAAATTATTTCAAAATACCTGAAAATTATTATTTTAATTTTCAGGTATTTTGAAAACTCTATTTGATATCCACATAGTATATATTTGATATCCACACTTGTTATATGTTTAATATCAGATATTTTGTCATTTACATAAACATAATAAAAATTGTTTCCTCAGGAACAAATAATTGCTAAACCATTTATTTTGATCAGTTATTCTAAATGAATAAAGTTTCTGAAAAAAAAAACATTTCTAATCGTGTTGAATGTTTTGGACAGGTCAATAAATGCAGCACTGCAAAGTTTTTTTAATCCACTTTTTATACTATCAACAAAGATTGAATTTGCTACTTTAGTACTGTACTTTAGATCTAAATACACTAGGATAATGGTTATTAATGAGATAGATAATGTATAATCATATTTAATGAGATAGTAGACTAGTGGTAAAACTTTAGGCTGAAAATCCGGATATATATATATATATATATATATATATATATATATATATATATATATATATATATATATATATACATATATATATATATATATATATATATATATATATATATATATATATATATATATATATATATATATATATATATATATATATATATATATATATATATATATATATACACACACACACACACACTGTGTAATACTTCTATTATTACTATTATTTAAATGTCTCTAATTGCATAATAAAACTGACATTTTTTCAAATGTTTTTTATTTCAATTATTAGATTTACAATTCAAATCAAGGCAAACTTTTGGCAGTAAATAATCTATATTTTGGTGTTGCTAAAGGAGAGGTGAGATCACAGATCAAAAATCAAAATGGCACTAAGTTACTAGTACAAAATTGATTTTTTTATTATTTTTTTAATTTTAGTGTTTTGGTTTACTTGGTGTAAATGGAGCTGGTAAAAGCACTACTTTTAAAATGCTTACTGGAGATACAAGTATAACTTCTGGTGATGCCTTTGTTGAAAATTACAGGTGTTTTTATAATTTAGTTAAGTTTTTTAAGAAATAAAAAATCATGTTGTGTTATTTGAGTTTTTTTGTTGTCTACTACAATTTTTTAAAGAGTTTTTGATTTTATTTGTTTTAGTGTTGTTCGCAACCTACTCAATGTTCATTCAAAAATTGGTTACTGTCCACAGTTTGATGCATTGTTTGATCATCTAACTGCAGAAGAACATTTGTATTTTTATGCAAGACTTAAAGGAATACCAGAGCTTGAAATAAAAAATGTTAATTTTTTTTCTGTTTAAGATTTGAATTTTTTTAAATTTTGAATAAAAAAAGTGGTGTTAGTTGATTTAAGGTGAGTTGATGTAAAAAAAATGTTGTAGACCTGTTTATTATTTAAAGGTTTGTGATTGGCTTATTAAAAAAATGGCTTTGTCTCGTTTTGCAAATCAACGCTCAAAAATATACAGCGGTGGAAATAAAAGAAAATTATCAACTGCCATCGCACTTATAGGCAACCCATCACTAGTTTTCATGGTAGTTACAACCAACTTTTTAGAATTATTTGCTTTCTTTTTCTTTTTTTTTGATTCTGTTATAAAACCTATATATATAGGCATATATACATAAACATTTATTAAAGGCATTTTTTATTTTATTAGGATGAGCCAACAACTGGAATGGATCCTGGTGCAAGGCGATTTTTATGGAACATTATCCTAAGCATTATAGAAGAAGGGACTCGCTCTGTTGTTCTCACTTCACATAGGTTTGAGAAAAATTTTTTTTTTTTTTTTAATAAAATATGATTTTTTGCATATTTGTTGGCTTCATTTTTTTCTTATTTTTTTAATTTTTGTTTTAAAGTTGAGTTTCATTTCATTTTAGCATGGAAGAATGTGAAGCACTGTGCACCCGACTTGCTATAATGGTAAATGGGCAATTTCAATGCATCGGCAGTACTCAGCATATAAAAAATAGGTAAATGCATGCTAGTAAAATAAATAATAAAAATAAAAATTCATCAGTGAAACTATCACAAAGACTGATAAGGATAAAAAAAAGTATATAGTTTTTTTGATATTTTATATAAATATTAAAATATAAGCTATAAAATTATTCTTTGTTATTTTGAAAAAAAAAATCTTTATATATTAAAATACATAAAAACAAAATTTGATGAGTTTATGTATTAAAATACAAATAGAATAATGTGTAAAAAGAATAAAAGATTAATCTTTGAAAAGTTCATCACAAAACATGTTGTTCATCACACAACACGTTGCTTATCACACAACATGTTCATCACACAACATGTTGTTCATCACACAACATATTGTTCATCACATAACATGTTGTTCATCATACAACATGTTATTCATCACACAACATGTTGTTCATCACACAACATGATGTTCATCACACAACATGATGTCCATCACACAACATGTTTTGTGATGAATTTATTAAAGATTATTCTTTTAAAGATAATAGTTGTATTTTGATAGTGAAGCTTTTTGATATTCTTTTTAAAATCACTAAAGAATCTTGATGTAAACCGCTTTAATTATAATTATTAATGAATATAAAAAGTATATATTAGGCATGACATAAAAATGTTTTAAATTTACTATCCTGTAACAGTTTGAGGTCAGCAATTTATTGCCGACCCTAATTCTGAGGGCTGTATCCTATATTTAAGAACTTAAACAAGTGAAAGTAAAAAATGTAAATTTTTCACTAATTAAGAGAAAGAAAAAATACCTTATCAATTTTTTTTTTAATCCTCAGTTTTTTGCTACTTTGCTGAGATTTTCTTTAAAACTGCAGTTTTTTATCTTCATCAGTTTTATAACTCACAAAAAACTTTTATCTTAGTATTTCAATTCATAGTCAAAGTTTTGTTTTATGTATTTTATTGCTAATTTTTACAATAAATTTTTACAATAAAGTATTGAAAACAAATAATTTGACTAAAAAATGTGATAATAACAAATCACTTTGATTTTTTTGGTTAAATACTCATTGGTTAAAAACAAATTGATATTACTGGCTGGATACTAAACAAATTATTGGTTTAGATATCTAAACAAATTGATATTATTTGTTAAATATCTAAACAAATTAATAAAAGGCCTGGGTAACAGTTGGTAGGCTGGGTAACATTTATAGTAAACAAAAGAAGAAAATAATTTTTAGTGTTGCAATTTTGGTATTTGAAAAAGTATATTTGGATGGGTTCTTTTTGGATATCTTTACAAAGAAATAAAGACTTTTGGTAAAGATATGGAGTAAATCATTATTCACTAATTAACATAGTGTTCAAAAAATGAATTAAAGAATTGAATCATTAAAGGCTTGAATTACAATATAATCAAATAAAATTTCAATCTAACAGACATACCAAAATAATATTTAAAAAAATTATCTTTAGATTGACAATGACAAATGGCAAACAAAAAGTGACTTTTTTAGATTTAATATTGATCCCCTGATAAATCGCAAACCAAAGTAAAAATTTAATAAATACTTATGAAGAGTACAAGTTGATGAATTATAAAAGTTCAAACTTTAACCTTGTTTTCAAAAAATCAGTTCTTGATTATTTTTAATATTAATATTATGAATTATTGTTATCATTGATATTAATATTATAATTTTTATTAAGTGTAGTTCTTAATTTTTTATTAAGTACAGTTTTTCTTTCATATATTATTATAGGTTGAAAATGATAAAAAGCTGGATATCTAAACAAATTGATATTATTGGTTGGATATTTATTAGTTATTACTATCCACTAAATAAGTTATTCTATCAATTTTCATTTTTGTAGATTTGGAGATGGTTACATCATTGTTATCAGAGTAAGAGGCTCTCCATCAAACATGCTTCCTGTCAAAAAGTTTATGGAAGAAAATTTTTTCAATTGTGTGATGAAGGTAAGTTATTGATTGATTATTGTTGTTATATTATATAAGTTATTTATTGTTGATAGTGTGGTAGTGGCGTAGTGGTAGAACACTCGCCTTATAAACAAGGAGTTCTGAGTTCAATCTCCACTGTGTAACTAGTAGTACCACACTAAACTTGTTTCTCCACAAAGTAGCCTTGTTTTTCAAGGTTTGTGTTTGTTGTAACCACAACTAAAGTAGCCTCCTTGACTAGAGTCGAGAAGGCTACTTTAGTTGTAGTTATTTCACCTCCCTAAGGCCGGGAAGACCTTAGGGAGATAAATTAACATGAAAATAAAAGTATGTTAGTTATTGGTTGATTATGGTTGTTATGTTATTTAAGTTATTGATTGATTACTGTTGTAATTGTATATGCTGTGAAAGTTATTGGTTGGTTGCTGTTGTTATGCTATGTAAGTTGTTGCTTGATTATTGTTACTATGTTATGTATGTTATATTTCAGTACATTGCTTTCCCAGCTAAAAATTCAGTGTGCGATTGTTTCAATACATTGCTTTCACTTTCACAGTTAACTATTATAATTGATAAGAATAAAAAATTATGAAATAATTTATATTCTATTCTAAAGGTTTTTAAATTATAGTTACACCCAAACCTATTTTTGGTGCGTTCTTTTTTCTTTTTTTTCTTTTTTTTTGTGTAATTTTTTTTCTAGTGCTATTTTTTTGTGAGCAAATTTTGATAGGTGAATATGTGAAAAATGACATACAAAAATGTTCAGGTGAAATTAATTCAAAAAACAAATAAATAAATTTAAAAAAACAAAAAAATAGATAAATCTGATAAATTGTTCCACAAGATAGAGCACTAAATGAGCATTATATTCAAGAAAGCTTTTGATAGGAAAAACAAAAAACGTGCTCATATTGTTGTAAAGCATCAGCTCATATTGTTGTAAAACATCAGCTCATGTTGTTGTAAAACATTAGCTCATATTGTTGTAAAACATCAGCTCATATTGTTATAAAACATCAGCTCATATTTTCATATTTTGATTGAAAAACAAAAAACGTGCTCATATTGTTGTAAAACGTCAGCTCATATTGTTGTAAAACATCAGCTCATATTGTGGATTTAAGATTTTAACTTAATAAAGAATTGACTCGGCAATTTTATAATTTGCTAAATTAAGTTAAAACATCTGTTATAGTATGTAAAGTTATCCTTATATAATTCTTTATAATAAAATACAATATTTTTAGGGGTTATATATACCCTCGTTATTTAAGTTATATAATTATTTTTTTGGGGTATATATAACCCCTAAAAATATTGTATTTTATTATAAAGAGTTATATGAGGATAACTTTACATACTATAACAGATGTTTTAACTTAATTATATAAAAACTTATCTAAGATGTTAACTTTTAAAAATAATTTTCTGAACAATTTAGAGAAGTTTTGTTCTGCTAATAACCGCTTGAAATTATTCTTTTGTGTTAGCAAATATTATTGATATAGTGGTTATTGGTGGATGATGGATATTCACAGTATCAAGTATTTAATATTGAGTAAACTGGGTTGTTCTGGAAAAACATACCTAGCCAGGAGTTCATTGAGAGTACATTTTTACTTTGTAGAAAATTTGCATCTCAAATTAGCTAGAATGTTAAAAAAAAACATATGATATAAATAGATCATTGCACTCACAGGCAAAAATGCAGCTGATTTACCATGGCTACTAAAAAAGTATGGGTCAAAACAGTTGTTTTCATAATTTCGTTCAACGATTGTTTTGTTCCAGAAGTTAAAAAATCTATTTTTGATAATGTTGATAATGTACCCTAATATGATTATTTTTACCATGGAACACGACAACACAACAACATGACAACACGTCAAGCCTTAACCATTATCAAAGCAAAATCTTTTAAGAAACACTGCATGAAGCTTTCAGGTGCGTTTTGGAAAAACTTGATAATGATGCAATAACCTTGACTGCAGTTTGTAAAAAGTTTTCGATATTGGACTGTATAAATCATGGTGCTGCAGCAATTACTATAATAGCACAACGTGCATTAAAAACATGCTGGAAAGCTGCCTGGCCAGAATGTGTCATTAATAGAACTCCAACTGAACAAGCATTAATGTTAACAACAAAAATCATTATGCTAGCTCATGGCGTCAGCGAAGACAGGTTTTATACTTTCAATAAAAATGATCTTATCGAAATGATTCAAGATGATGCAGTAAGGTATGTTGAAACTATAAATTATGTAACAGATGTTGCTGATTGGCATGAAGAACTCAATTTAATTACAGCAAATAATTTTTTGTGCAGGACTCAGTTCGCTGACTACATGGTAAACAAAAAAAGTCAACTCTAAACAAGTGCCAAGTTTTTATCTTCGAGTGATTTTAAATGTTCACATGTGTTTTTTTTCTAAATTAGATTCCAAGTAGCTGCCAGGCATTGTGTCTTGATTTTGTTTAAAAAAGCAGTTCAAAGTTATTTAGAAATGGTTTTAGCTACTTTCTATGTTAGAAAAGTTGTTTTTGTATATTTACCATACAAAAACAACTTTTTATTTGTGCTGCGTAAACAATTTCTTATTGTTTTTCGTGAAGTTTTGTGCGGTGTTTTAAATGCGTTTTAATTTATGTGGTCTCTATTTATTGCACAACTGGTTTGAGTGTATGTTATATATTTGAAAACATTTGTACCAAATATGAAAAAAAGACAGAAAAAAATATTTCAACAATAGCACACAAAGATTAAGAATATTTTTATAGAAATTAGGAGAATGTTTTTTTATAAAACATAAAAAATAATTTATAGTTTCTTAGGTCATTTAAGTTGGGCAATAAATTTGATTTACCATTAACGGTAATTCTTGCCATTGAATATGTTTACTTTTTTGAAAAAGTTTAGGAAATTTATTGCTTGTTATATTTTAATAGGAAACTCATCATAATGTTGCACAATACCAAGTTCCTTCATCAAGTAATGTCTCTCTTTCCAATATTTTCAAAAATCTGGAAGATGTATGCGAACAACTTCTTATAGAAGATTATTCAGTCAGTCAAACATCGCTAGACAATGTAAAGTTTTATACATACATACATGCATATATATATATATATATATATATATATATATATATATATATATATATATATATATATATATATATATATATATTCTGGTTTTCTTATTTGATTCCGTCCCTTCTTTTTTTTTAATAAAACTATATAAATGTTTTTAGGTTTTTGTCAGTTTCGCTAAGTATCAGAAAGATGCAATTACTCAAGTAAATGGATCACCTTTAAAAGCGCCTAAATCCGCTTTAAAAACAATAAAATCTAACTGGCGTAAAGCAAAAGTTGCGCTCGGAAGAAGTCGCTCCGCAAAATTTGAAAGATTTGTTCAATTGCCGATGGAAGAAGAACTCGGAAATATTGGAGAAAATGAAGATGAAATAATATTATCTACAGCTGATGATGTAGCTCTTCTTTCAAATTCTGTAAGTAAAATTTTCTTACGTAATCAAATTAATTTTTTTTCTACATTTGTTTCTTTTTTAATGAACCTGTAGCTTTAATAAAAAGATTTAAATTCATTTTTTATTAGGGCCGTCTATCATTTGAGGTGGCATGATTTTTCTAACGACCGTCAATCTTTAATATGACATGATTTTTGTAGATAAAGACGTGTGACGTCAACGATTCGGATTTAGAATTCAATCGTCATATCTTTTATTTAATTTTTGAAAAAAAAAAATTTCTAATTTAGTTTTATAAAGTTCTAATATGTAAATTTTTTCTGGATTTTAATGTTTCTTAATTTTTTATGTAAAAAAGGAGAGGGGGGCATTGTTTTCATAAAATAACTTGATGTATGTATGCAGTTTGATATAACAAGTCATAGATTTTAAATCGTATATTTAACTTGTGTAATTTATGAAAATTATTTAAAGAAAAACCAAAAGAATTTTATGTCAATTTGATATTATTGTCTTATTATTATATTTTGCCCTCTTATATATACACTGTTGTATATACATTAGGTATACTAATGTAGAATATATTCTTGTTTTGTTCTCATTTGTAAGACTGTTTTAATCTAAAAGTTTAATTAAAAGTTTTTTAATTTATTATTTGAATAGAAAGCTGAATAAAAAATGTAACTTAAAGAGAAAATAAAGAGAATATTTATCTCAATACCGAAAAAAAATACTGCTTTAGAGGTTCTTTTTGAAACTCTAGCGCGGTGTTCATTTACCAGTAAATTACTAAATATATATTTGTATGTGTTATATGTACCAGACTTGCTTGCTTATTGTGAGACTAACTTGAATTTGGCTGTTTCTTCTTCGGATTTCAGTATTATTGACTACTATCCTTTGATTCAAAAGGATAAAGACTCCAATAGTTACATGCTTGACTTAGGCATATACTTACACATCAGTTCATCTATTTGTCGAGAAACCATGTTTGTATCCTTTGACCATTCATTTATGTGGTTCTGCTTGGACCTCCTCACTTAATCACCTTTCTTTTCGTTCTTTATCGTTCTCCTTCTTTCGAAAGCTGCATTCTTTTAGATTGAATTTGTGATCAAAATGACAGACCCCTTTCTCTTTATCCTTCTGTCAATATTGTTGTTAATGACTTTAATTCTGCTCATCACACTGAAGAGCTCGGCTCTAACACCACTTACCCTATTGGCACATCACACTAAAGCTCGTAACTTCTGTATTTTTTTAATCTCTTACTCAAATAGTTAACTTTCTAATTTGTTTTCCTGGCAACCCAAATCACTTATCTTCGCTTCTTGATTTGGATCTTGTCTCTGACCCTAGCTCATTATCAGTTTTTCTTTGTTCTCCTTTATGTGGTTCCGACTATGCAATAATCTCTGTAAATCTATAATATTACCTAAAACTAACTGATTTTCTTTTCTTGATTTTCTTCATGACAGTCCGTAAGCTGATGTTAAACATCCAAATCACTTAGGCATCCGTTGAATCTTGACGGAATCTTGTTTTCGTGCCAGCTGAAAAATGACACCTGTAGTGTCAATTTTTAAAAACTCTGGAGAACACTCTGACCCCTCCAACTATGGTCTGATTAGTCGTCTCTCTATTATTAGCAGGGTCTTTGAATCTTTAATCAACAAATTTCTAACATTCCATCTTGAGTCTAATAACTTACTCTCTGACAATCAATATGAATTTTGATCTTATTGTTCTACAGCTAACTTTCTAAGTGATTTAATTGAAAGATTCTATTGTACATTAGATAGGGGTGGCGAGGCAAGGGCTCTTGATATATTTAAAGCTTTGATAAAGTTTGTCACGCTGGTCTTCTCCATAGGTTTGCTTCATAATTTTGTATCTGGGAAAACTTTGGAGAATATCAAACCATTTCTCTCTAACCGCTTTATTAATGTCATCCTCAAAGGCTGAGTCCTCTTTTCCAAGTCTTCTTGGAGTATCATTTACAACTGATCTCTCATGGAAACTATATATAAATATTTACATAATTGCAAAAATTCAATAGTTGGCATCTACTAAGGTTGCTTCTCTTTATCGTGCTCGCTATTGAATTAATCTTGATTCTATTCTCTACCTCCACAAAATTTTTATTCGTCTTTATATTGAATACTGTTCTCATATTTGAGCTAGTTCTTCTAATGATGCCCTTTCTCTTGGAACTTTGGAACTCTCCCATCTTTTTTTTTTCATTCATATTTTTCTTACGCATACTTACATCATCGTCGATTATCTAACATTATCTTCTTTCATATTTTTCTGGTGCATACTACCTTCAACTTTTCTTCTATCAACCGTTTTCTTGCTCTTTAACATTATTCTTTATTTTCTAGTAACCCCAAGCTTAATAGCAGTTGCTTGCAGCCTTATTGAAAGTGAATTAGAATTAAAAAAAACTTTTTGATAATAAGTTGAGAAGATAATTTATTTGTCTCAATACTAGATAATAAAAAATTGTTTGTCATTAATTAAGTTCAATGTTTCTCCTTTACATAACAAGAAGGAAAACTGATGAAAACTAAAGATCTCTCATGAAAGAACTTCTCATGAAAAAGCCAATTCCAGAATAACTTTAATGTCAATTATTTGACCATATAATTCTGTTGTGCGTCTGATACAGATGTTGGTTTTACTCAGTAATTGGTCAGCTTTATGTGAATAAAAATTTGAGCAATTTTGCTCAAATTTTTATTCACGTAAATACCATATAAAATGGTTTGATGGTGAAATGGTTCCTATTTGAGTTGATGTTGTTGACTGTTTTTATTATATTTATATTTGATATGCCTCTTTGGTTTTAGAAACTTTATTGATAATATAAATCAAATGACATACTTGTAAGTGGACATCTTGTAAGTGGACCTTATTTGATTTTCATAATTTGATGTTAACTTTATTGTCAACATTATTTTAAAAATAACTAATTGAGTATTTTAGATTTCATAGAGATTTTTGATAAAATATATGTGAGTGAAAAAAATTCGGAATCATAGGTAAATCATTTGGTAAATAAGTTTATATCCAAAATAATAAAAAAAGTAACTATTTGTACATAACTATTACGATGTATTAGGACATAAAGTTTTTTGCTTCTTAATTTTTATTGACTATTCGTGTAATATATTAAGTTTTTTTTAAGTGAACAACTTTTTTGAATTAAAATAATGACAAAAACACTTTTTTTTTTTTTTTTGCAGCGATATCCATGTTAGATAAAAATAACTTTAACAAGTTAAGATTTCTTGCTATCATGTTTTAACTAAATGTTTTTTATATTAATGTCAACTATCGAGCGAATCTAAAATCAATATTGCACCGGAAATCCATGTTATTTTTGGGTTATTTGAGTACCCCTATGGTACAAGAAATTATGGACTTTTGGGGTAATTTTACAGCCTAATTTACTGCTTTAAGGAGTCTAACCCTGACTTAGCCCTAAATTTTGATGTTTTACATTTTCTTAATCATGTAAAGTTCTATTTTAGTTTATGAAAACTTTGGCTCTGATACTTTTGGGGTAAAATAATGGGCTTTTTGGGCCCAGTTCTAAGGTTCTTGAGCACCAAACTCCCCCTAATATGAACCAGCTAAAAAAAAACTATTTCTTAGTGAGTGCAACTTTATTGTTTCATTGAAGGTAAGATAAGTTAAGCATGCGTGTTAATATGTCATATATTGGTCAATATGGGGTATTTCCAAAATATCAGGCACGGAAAATTGTAGATCTTTTTTATATTATTTTTATAATTACTCTTGCATCATCCATTTTTACTCTTGGTAGACCATACTTTGGGAAGCTTGATACTTTTTCTGATTTAGTCTTTTCTCAGGAAACCGGAGTTCATAAGCATTACTGTCGAATTTGGAGTCACAAATAACGTTTGGTGCGCTATGTTTTCAAGCTGCGTCGTAGGACTATACTTTTTTGACGAATCAACTATCACCAGCCAAAACTAGCTCAAGATGTTTAAAAGAATTTTTTCATCCAGTATTGATTCAAAAGCCCATTGTCAGACAAATTCGATCGAATGGGTTGCTCGATCCCCAGATTTTATTACGCACAGAAATGAGAATGCCCTATCGGCAAAATAATATTACGCCAATATCTCTAATACCAACAATAAAACAAGTTTTAACGTAAGTAGTATTTTAAAATTTAGAGAAACTTAGAACTAATTTTAATTCCACAAAAAGCTATTAAAATAAAATCTCGTGATGCTGTTTTATTAAGACACAATTAAAACACAGTTTTTTTAAGTGAAGGCTTGGTATGACTATTTTTGCTATTATAATGAGTAGAAATAGGCCGATTTCGATTCTGATTCTCCCGATTTCAGCAATTCTCAAGGAATTGTTAGAATCGTAATTCTCTACCTTTTTTAACGATTCCGGTTCTTTCTAAAATAACTTTTTAACGACTTCACTTCTTTTATTAATATCCCCATGATAATTAAAATAAAATATACACTCTTTACCGTTAATAATTCTTTAATAATTGAAAAAATATACACTCTTTGCCGTTGTAATTTTGTTTCATTTACGTTAACTTTTCACTTTTGCGTTTTCATCGTTGAAGTTAAGTAAACTGTTAAGAAAAACTTTAACAAAAGTAAACATTGCAAATACGCAAAACACTGCCACAAAATTTCAATTTCAATTTGAACCGGTGATAAGTACTATTATAATAATCTTATTTGCTTGTTTTAATAATTAATATTGTTTGTATTATTATTTTTTTATTATTATAAATGCTGTTTTTATTTCAGAATATAGTATCATTAACACGTCCAAACGCAAGAAAAGCGAGGTATGGAGGTATTTTGCGATCAATTTGAATGACGCCAACTCTGTAATATGCAGTTTTTCAAAACAGTTATATCCAGAAGTGGTGGCAGAATTTCTCAGTCATACATAGTATCAAACATGCTAAAGCATTTAAATGGTATCAAAAATCAGAAACAGGATAAAGCTAGTATTATCGATTTTAATATATGTGAGGATAGCTCTACTGCAGGACCGTCTTCTAAATCTTGTGAAACTAATACGACCATGCCAAGGACAAGGCCGGCGCGATAGGGGTGTGTGTGTGGGGGGGGGGGGTGTTTCTTTAGAAGTAGTTTTTCGGTGTCGCGAAAAACTATTTCTAAAGAAGTTAAACTTGAAGGACACCATCCATTATGAGAAACCGAAACTAAGGAATTTATTTTAAGCGCAAAAAGTAAACTTATGCGTATAAAATTGCGTTAATATTATTTAAAAAAACCAATTGGTGTTTTGAAATACAAAATGCAAATACAGTTTCGTTTTTACTAAACTTTAAGACTTTTTGTTGAGTTGTTATATAAAAACCCATCTTGCCCCATTCGCCATGTTGCCCCGCTTTGCCCTACTTGAAAAACTCAATCTAGTAATGAAAAATAATGCCAGAAGTATTGTCTCTGCTACGGAAGTAGGGAAGTTTTCAAAGATTCCTTGCCCATATACTTCAGTTGGTTGTAAAAGATGACTGTCTCGACAATCAACGTATTTCTTTACTAACTGCTACATGTAAAAGAATAGTAGGACACTTTTCCGACTGTATTATTTGTTTCTTATTAATAATAATATTATACAAACGTTCCGTATATTTTTTGTTATTTATTAATATGATATTAGTTAAGTGACTATTATTTCACAAGACCGACACGTTTTGTAAGGTAAGGGGGGCGGAGAGAAACTTTTATTCATTTTTTAGGTCAATTTCTTAAAAAAAAAAGTTTTGCTAAAAAGATGTGGGAGGACGTGCTTCCTAGAGCCTCGGTGTTGTCAGCCCTGTTTCACCTGTACTAATATAACTGATTTCAATGTTTTTATTTTCAAAGTCTGTGTAAGTATTAAATTAACAATGCGTTTATTATATTAAATTATTATATTAAAAGCACTATCAGTTGAATTAAAATAATAAAAATCAAAAAAAGAATCGGTATCGCAATTGAGAATCGGAATTGGTGTTTCTTGGAATCGGCCCATCTCTATTAATAAGCATTGCCAACGTTACGCGAATATTGGCGCAATATTGCATATATTTAAAAAAAGTTTTTAAAATGTTATGTTAAAACGACGCCGAGTTATTTTTGTTTCTGAATAATAATCAGAATCTCGTTTAGAATTACATTATTAATGTGGAAAAAATTGACTCCCATCCTAAAGATGTAATGATTAAAGAGATTTCAAAACTCCTACAGAAGGACATACTTAATCACATAGGCTTTTTGTTTACGGAGATCCTAGATATCTTTGAACTAGAGCATTTTTCTTGCTTAAACATTAACCCTATTAAGAAAAATCTTAGAAAAAGATACAAGGTCTCTGCATGTTTAGATAACAGCTTCGCAAAGATTTTTATCTAATCAATAATTCAAAAAAGATATTTATATTTCACAAAGACTTTACGCACTATTCAACAACTTAAGAAAATAATTAGTGAACAAATAAATACGCATGTTGCATACATAAATATTCTCTCGAATTTAAAAGAACTTAATGGCCGCATAAAGACTCTACAATTCGGTAAGATCTTTGCTAACTGCATAGGAAATATGACGAACTTCGAATCAAATAGCGAAAAATCAACAACACCTGTCAATAACTTCTAACTCGTCGGTTTTTCAAAAACCTATAGAAAATTCTATTGTTTTAAATTTAATAAACTTTCTTTCCAAGACTCAAAATCATACACAAAAAAAAAATCTCCACACGTCACCGTTGAGGAATTCGATGATAAATTTAAAAAAAGATATAAAATTTGAAATCTAACTTTTTATATTGTTAGTAATTCCATAATACAATTTTTGTCGATTACATAGAGAAAGAAATGAGCGTAGTCCACGGCTGTTTCACTCAATATAAAAGCGAGCTTGACGTCACAAAAATTTTTGAGTTTAAAAAAAAAAGAAGTATTTCCGCATAAAAAGTATAAATTTTCACTAACTTTAAAATAATACTATTTTTTTCTATGAACGCTTTTATCTTCAAATTTAAAAAATATAAAAGATTTATCTTTCTTCGTTAAATAAATACTTACATAAGACGGAATAAAAATAAACATTGTTAAAATATTTATAATGATTTAGGATCACTTTTCTGATTTTTGCGTTTTTTACGGAAAACCTGTCTTGGACCAACTAAGATTGCTTAACTTATCTTTATGATTTATGTTTGAAATTTGAAACATTTGTCAATAAGTGTCTAATCTATTCGATTCCTATGTCATTCGTGTGTTATTTTTATGAAATATTTGTTTTTAATGCATTTTTATTTTAAATTTTACTAATTTTAAATGAAATACGTAATACTTTTGATGGATGACATAAGATATTAAAACTTCAACCTTTTATGCAAATTAAAATTATAAAATTATTGTATGTACTTTCAGCTATGTTAAGCAATATGTTTTCAAACTTGGCATGTTAAGCAACTTTTTCTAGTTTTTCGCGTAAATTTTTGTTTAGGTTATTAAAGCGATGACGTAAAACATTAAACTTTAAAACATTTTCTCTAATATTTTTTTGCGGTTTTGTTGTATGACTTAATAATCTCTGTTTCATTTCACATAAAGTTTGAGTAATATTTTTTTTGTTTTTATAATAGTCTAAAAATGTTTATACTTATCAATAAATATTAGAAATATATATTTTCAATTTTTTTTTTTGATAATAAGTAACAACAAATTACTAAAGTTCAGCCTTTATCGCGTTTTTTCTAAACTAAAAGAATTTTTTTTACTATGGACGCAGTCGGAAATACGTCATAATCTTTGGCGCGAACAGCTACCATTTTGCATGGGGGAAAATTAATTTCTGTCTGCACCGCGTTAGTGGCTATAACAAAAGAATTCTTTAAAATGCCCAAAAGTTGTTGTGTTTTTGAATGTTCAAACAACAAAACAAAAAATCCAGATTTGAAATATTACATTTTACCGCATGATCCAGAACGTCGCAAACTTTGGCTCAATGCAATCAGTCGTACTGCTTTAGATAAAGATGGAAATATTCTCAAGAACAAACTTTGGTCACCAAGATCCAAATATCACTATGTTTGTTCTAAACATTTTATTTCTGGTAGGTTTTTTTTGCTTGAGCTGTTTAGCATAACTTTTTTAGTTCTTTAAAGACGCTTGTTGTGTATTTCATGTAGCTAAAATACCGATATATATTTTTTTTACAGGTAAAAAAAAAAACCAATTAAATGATCCAGATTATGTACCTTCTGTGTTTTCATACAAATCATGTGGAAAGAAACATCAAGCTCTTCATCGACAATCTGTATTAAATTGTAACAAAATATCAGGTAAGAATTTTAAAATCTATTGGTATGATAAAGGCTTAATTTAAGCAAACAAATAAATATACGTAAACACATGTACGTACATGTAACACTTGTAACATGAAACACAACTTGATTTTTTTCTATTCTAGCTGCTTATGCATCTGATAAAAGTCAGCCTGATTTGCTATCAAGTCAAATTGAAAACATTGATAAAATAATGCACAGTAACATAACTGACAAAGCAGGATGTTCTACTATGATCGAACAAAATTTTCTGCCCTTAGCATCACCAACCAGCCCCACAATAGCCATGAAATCTCTTATAAATATATGTGAGCGAGAAAGTATGTTTCATGAATTAGATAATATGCAGTCTGAAAAATCTAGTCAAAATAAAAACATCAAAGAAATTGTACACAATGACATGACCAATAAAGTAGGATGTTCTACTATGATTGAACAAAATTATCTGCCCTTAGCCTCACCAACCAGTCCCACAACAGCCATGAAATCTCTTATAAGTATATGTGAGCGAGAAAGTATGTACCATGAAATAGATAATATGCAGTCTGAAAGATCTAGTCAAATTGAAAACATCGAAGAAATTGTACACAATGACATGACCAATGAAGTAGGATGTTCTACTATGATCGAACAAAGTTATCTGCCCTTAGCCTCACCAACCAGCCCCACAACAGCCATGAAATCTCTTATAAGTATATGTGAGCGAGAAAGTATGTTTCATGAATTAGATAATATGCAGTCTGAAAAATCTAGTCAAAATAAAAACATCAAAGAAATTGTACACAATGACATGACCAATAAAGTAGGATGTTCTACTATGATTGAACAAAATTATCTGCCCTTAGCCTCACCAACCAGCCCCACAACAGCCATGAAATCTCTTATAAGTATATGTGAGCGAGAAAGTATGTACCATGAAATAGATAATATGCAGTCTGAAAGATCTAGTCAAATTGAAAACATCGAAGAAAATGTACACAATAACATGACCAATGAAGTAGGATGTTGTACTATGATCGAACAAAATTATCTGCCCTTAGCCTCACCAACCAGCCCCACAATAACTATGAAGTCTCTTGTCAGTGAATATGAACGAGAAAGTATATACCATGAAATGGATTATTTACGATCAGAAAGTGATATATTACGAGAAAAATTATTGTTGCCTGTGCACTTGTCTCCTTATTCATTTCAAGTTTTAAGGGAAAATCCTGACACTTGCTTGATGTTAACCGGGTTAAAGTTTGATATTTTAACAACTCTTATTGATTACCTTTTTATAGGAGAACATAATGGTGATCATAGACCAACTCGATATATTATGGAAGATCAAATAATTTTAACAATAGTTAAATTGAAGCACAATATGAGTTTTGATATGTTGGCCCATTTGTGCTCCATAAGTAAAACAACAGCTATTGAATATTTTTGGAAGTGGATAGATGTGATGTCAGAAAAATTAAAATTTTTAATTAGAATGGAAGCTCGAGAACACATTTTCGAAACCATACCACATATTTTCAAGTCAAAGTTTCCACGGCTTACTTCAATAATTGACTGTTTTGAAGTGTTTATTGAGTCACCTGGTCCTTTGTTAGCAAGAGCACAATGTTATAGTAGTTACAAAAAACATTGCACATTAAAGGTTTTTATTTCCTGTACACCACTTGGTGCCATTAACTTTTTATCTAAATGTTGGGGTGGTCGTGTTTCTGACATTCAAATTGTAAAAGAATCAAACTTTACATCATCAAAATACCACTACCCTGGAGATCAAATTTTGGCTGATCGTGGTTTTACATTGAAAGATGATTTTGCTGCTCATTCCAGTTCGGAACTGTTGGTTCCTGCATTTGCAAAAAACAAATGCCAGCTATCAGCTGAAGAAGTTGAATCTACCAGAAATATTGCATCTGTAAGGATTCATATAGAAAGGATTATAGGATTAATGAAAAATCGTTATAAAATTCTAAAAGGAATCTTGCCAATAAGATCAGTGAAAAGTCTAAAGGATGAGGCAAATCATTTAATGTATGCTAGCTGTGATAAAGTTGTTCTGGTGTGTGCTGCTTTAACAAACTTAGGAGAAAGTATTGTGTTTCGCTAGCATGTAATATTATTACACTTTTTGTAATATTTACTTTATGACTCGATCAATGCTGATTAAGTCATGTCAATTTTTAGCTTTTCTAGAATATCTTAAGAATAAAATACACGTAATGTTATAATACAATGTAATATATAAATAATGTAAATGATATAATATACGTAATATGTTAGAGTCAACTTTTATGTATTTTTTATGACTGTAAAAGTTTAGTGTCACTTAAACCCATTGGGCTGAAAAGCGAAACAGAATCGAAAAATAAAAATTTTTTAAAGACCTCAATACAAAAGCAATATAAGATTTTATCTTTAAGAAAATCTTTTTCCACTGAAATCTCCAATTAAGTTCCAGAATCTTTTTGAATACTTCCGAATTTGATTGTTTTATGTAAACATAATACAAAACAATAAAGTATGTTCCAAGCAAGTCAAATAATATTTACGTGATTAAACTAGTTTTTTATAAAAACAAGCAATACGCTTAAGAGATTTTTTTTCAAGTTAAAAACATATAAATTGTTTTCATTAATTAATCACTAATGATAATAATCCCCCGCCAATTTATAGTTTTGTCCTAAAGTTAACGGGGTTTAATCGAAAAATGATTGAGGCACAAGATACAGAATAAGTCAGGCAGCGCCATCTAAAAGAAAACAAATGATTAAGCACTTTTGAATTTTAAAACTAGTTTAGTCCAAAATACGGTTTACAATACTTGCAACATCATATAAAAGACACTAAGCTTAATTGACTTATTGCAACTATAATGACCTTAAGCCATTTCCTAACGTTCTAAACCGATTGTTAAAGGCCTAACAACTATTCCCAAAAATTATTTAATTTCATTTGAATCGTTATAAAAATTGGAGAAAATAAAAGAAACTTATTTCGCATCGCTTACATTTGTAGCTTTTGCCGCTTATGAGATTCTGATTCTGACATTCTAGGGAAAATACAAGAAAAATAGAACCAATGAAAAAATAATTTTTTTTTGTTATTTGTCAGGTACTGATAACAATAATTGCAGAAAGAAAAAAAAAATAACTCAACTAATTGACTTCGAGCATAAATAATGTGCTCTTAAAATATTTTAAAACAAACTTCAATTCTAAAATCAGACACGTCACGATTCTATTTTCAACGGGGACCGACTCGAATCCCGGAAAAAAATTAATTGGTATTACCGATTACTTTAATATTACATAAGAATTTAAAATCATGGATTATTTGAAACTCGACTTTAAACATAAAAACAATAATTATAAAGTTATGTTTAAAAAATCATCATTCATAATTAAAAATAAAATAACGTCAATTAATTAGCGTTAAATTAGCAGCGCACGAAATTTCATTAGCCTTAATTTCTAGCATTGAAAAGTTTATCCGGTGCCAGGAGCTCGGGAATTTTAGCGGTGTGTTCAAAGATCTGTAAACTGGTTTTTCTGTACCGGTTATCTTAACAGAAAAAAAAATATTTAAGTATAAGTTTTTTTATATTTAACTTTAATAGATCATCCAGACCATATTTTTAAAATCCGGAAAATTGTTTGGGTAAAATATCCGGAAAAAATTCGAAATATATTTCCCTCTTAATTTTGCTTTTAACTGAATTGTTTTATAATCTTTTTTTTTAACTTTTCTTAGTTTTGAGTGATGATTGAAAAAAGCTTAAAAAAAAAGAAGAATATTACAAAAATATACAGCTAAACTTGTATGTATGGAAAACGTTTTGGATATCCGGAAAAACTTAAGTTAAGAAAGATATCCGGGATTCCGGAAATATCCGGAAAAAGATAATCGCTAAAGTTTAAATACAATAAAAATCTTTTTTAATGGTACTTAGGTAAGATTTTGAGCATGGTGAAAATTATAAATTGGGTTCAGTCTAATGTACAATCGAGTTAAAAAACCTAACCATTTTAAGTTTCCGAATCCTTCATAACAAGGGGGTTGTAAATTTTATGGTCATAACTTTGGAACGCGAAAAGATAATTTATATAAAAATTAAAAGCTACTGACGAGTTTAAATTTAGTATAAGAGTCAACCAAAAATATTTTATTAACTCATTACTTTCATATTTGAGCTAGGTGAGGTATTTTTGCTCCCAGGCTCCAATTACTGCGATTTTTTTAAATTTAAGTTATGGGAAAATTAATAGAGATCCTTTCTTCAAAATACTAACTGAACATTAATAAATGCAAATATAATTGAGTACAAAAATATTCATTAAAAACGGAGATATTTTTAAAAGCACAAAGGATTACTAACAAAGGCGATGCTTATAACTAGATAATTTGACAAATATTTACAAAACATAGATAAGTTGTTAATTCCATTTAATCCTATCAATCGAAAGTTTTAACGATTTTTTAAAATGAGTTTTTATAAACGAATTCTTCTGTCACTTGCATATAAAATTTTAATTTTGTAACATATAAAGTCATATATCATTTTCAGTCTTTCTTTTAGATTTCAAAATTGAAAATTTAACAAATACTGAAAATTATTTAATTAACTAAAAAAGTTAAAAAAGCTTAACAAACTTTATTTTGATAAGCTATAAAAATCACAATTTAAATAAGATAATATAAAGTCTTTATATAATGTTGCGAAACAGCATAAAACTATTATTTAAAAAAAATATTTATATAGTCATTTAAAAGAAACAAAACAAAAATAATAATATATATACATAATAAAATATTATTTTTTTTGTCGACAGGTTGGACAATACCAGACCTTTGTTTTTGGTAAATTTTTTAGTTTTAGGCAGGTTAGATGAAACCATTGATCACAACAATCACAACCTACCATATCCCAATTACTGTTGGATTTTTTACAAATGCAAAATACTTCTCCTTCTTTTTGTTGTTCAACAGTTTTAACATCTGTGATTTCCAACTTTCTTGTCATTAGTTCTGGTAAGATCACATTTTTCCAGAATTTTGTACTTTTGGTGATCATCTCATTCACAAAATAAGGATCACGTTCAATTCGAAAAAATAAAAAATCAATTGGAGTCCAGACAACAAAATCACAATAATGCAAGTCTAATATGAACATTCCATGTTGTACCTGACTAAAATATGGATGCGTTCTTTCCAACATGAAACCATTATTACTTTTTTTTACATAAAAATTTTTATCATCTATCGAAGAAGTCAATCCAATATCTTTAAGGCTGTAAGGACATTTCACCTCAACAACTCCGTACCCACAGCATGAACAATGTACAACACCATCAGGAGACACACCCAGCCATGGTTTCTCTTGTGAAACTACAAAACCAAAGGTTTTTACTTCAACAAGATTGTGAATCATGACTACTGACAGGCAAAGGGATTCACTCATGCATGTGTCATCAGAACTGATATTTACATACTCAGCTAATGCAAATTCTTCATTTTCACGTCCCCATATTAATGAAGGTGTATTACTTTTACAAAAATTTGGTTTTGTAAGTTTCCTAACTAAAGACTTAGGTGGATTTTCAATAGAAGCTTTCAAAACATCATGCATAACAGACCCAGTTATACGACCACACCTGTGTTCATACCAAGAAATGGAAGACGACTGATTTCTAGTTACTTCCTCCAGGTATTTAAGTTGCTGAGTGGTAATTGACAGCGAGTTAAAAAGTTTTTCTGCTTCAATTGATAAATTTTCCTTACTGAGGTTGGCATATGATGGGAGATACAGACTCCTTAGTGTTTTTGGCAATCTGGCTGGCTCATAATTTTGAAAAGAGACAAAAGGCTTTTGGAAACCTTCAAACAATGATAATGCTACAACTTTAGGATTGTTCTTCTTTATTGATTCAAGGAAACGAGTCTGATGTTCTTCATTTAGCTGTTAAGGAAAAATATTTTTTATTTTTTTAAGTTTTATTAACAGATTAAAAGCTGATTTTATTAAACCATTTTAAATTATGTGAAGTTAATTTATGTGAAGAATTATGTAAAGTTAAATGTTTCACTTCAACTAATACAAAAAATAAAAAAGGATGTCAATAAAATAATATTAAAGTAACTGTGGATTTTACAAGGTAAATTTTAATCTCATTAACTAGATATTAAATAGTGGCTAAAATAAGAAATTGTTTACTCTAACAGTTAATGATGCAGTTGATATGTTTGATCGTATTTTTTGTTTTGCATCAGCACTGTAAAAAATTATCTCAGATATTGGAGCAGGATTAACATCTTTTGTAAAATTTTGATTCCATTTACAAGGGACATCTGTGCAAGATTTTGATGTCAAACCCAAACGAACTGCTGCTTCTAATTTATATAAAACAGCTGCAACATGAGAGCAGGTTTCACCAAGTCTATAAAAAAGTAAGAAATATCTGAAAAATATTAATTTTCGAATAATTACAAAAAAATAATTTTTATTGCATTGTCCCTTTTTTAAGTTTATCTCATTGGTTACAAATTAAATTTTGTGAAACATTTACATGCCACATACACATTAGTTATTATGTATATCTTTAACCCATATAATCCAACATAAGACTAGAAAGTTGTATGGGAAAAAGTTAAAAAAAAAATTAATTTAACTCACCCTGCCATGCAGTTACAGTGACTTAAGATGATTGATCCTTTGTTGTTAACAGCAATCCACGGTGTATGAGTTGGGTCGTTTGTTCTGTAAGATGGTTTAACTTCTGCTTTAAAAATAACAAAACCTGAGCTCAATATCATATGTAAAACTTCTTGCACCCAACCAGAGACAAAATACTTATAAGCATCTAATGCTTTGTAATTATCCATAGCCTCAGGAGAAAAGATTTTAGGACTTTTTATTAGATAATGATATACATCATGGTATTGAACAGATGGCCATTCTGTTGGGTCATCTTTCCAAGCATCTGCAGGGAATTTGTACGGACATTGATTAATTCCAAGGATCGCAAGTTTGTTTTTGTACCTTTCTGCAGCGTTAAAATCTAATTTTTCGAAGTATTCATAAATTGACATATCTTTTTTCAAACTTCAAAACTTATATTTACATACGATTTCTAAATTAGTTTCCCCTTTCCAAGATGGTAACTAATCGCGCCATTAAAATTGCGCATAATCACGTGACTTTCCGACTGCGTCCATTACATTAAATGTCATATGATAAAACATTTTATTGTTGTTTTTATTCCTTTTACAAAACAAAATTATTTTTAATATTTCAA